TCGCAAAGCCACTTGCACCGCTTCTTGCACGTCTACGTCTGTAGAAATTTGACGACCTCGCAAAGCATCCTTGAGCGGCCGAAACAGATAAAAGTCGGAGGGAGGAAGATCGACTTTTATCTGTTTCGGCCGCTCAAGGATGCTTTGCGAGGTCGTCAAATTTCTACAGACGTAGACATGCAGGAAGCGGTGCAAGTGGCTTTGCGACCAACCGAAAACCTTCTCGGAAGGTATACGCAAGCTTGTGCACTGGAACAAGTACATTGCCAAGGGAGGAGACTATGTTGAAAAATGACGTACATAGTGAACCCACATTTTTGTAAAAATAAATTGTAGAACGAAAAGTTCGGATAATTTTTGACTCACCCTCGTATATATTCTCGCGACCGTATGCATTTTGTGATCACTGATCAAGTTTCGTGCATTATAATGCTTGAGTTCAACTTTTCAATGGCATTAGTAACAACGCTATTTTGTCGATCTCTGAGCATTGTTCAATAAGGAAAATAACATTTATACATTTTTAAAAAGCCGTCTACAATGGAAAGTCGTAGATTATAGCAATAAGATTAATCAATTATCATATTCGATAATTATTATATTCTCACATTCAACTGTGATTGGTTAATATCTTACTGCTATGGCCTACGACTTTCTATTATAGACGACCCTTAACATTTACAAATTTTTTATAACAAAAAATCATAAAAACTAGTTTTATGCAAATTGACATTATTATTTATTTTAATTATATGATCTGATTTCCTTTATTAATTTGAATTTTTTCTTTCTAGTTAGGTCAATCTAAAAACAATTAATCAGAATGAATCAAAATGAATCAAGTACATCACGTATTAATAAGGTAAGATTATTTACATAATAAAACATATATATATATATAACTTTTTACATTTCAATTGTTGTATGAACTGATTCTCAACTTTCTAATAATAATGTTATAATAATGTTTAAAATTATAAGATAAAAATTAAAAAAGAGTTTTATATGCATTTATAAACTTTTTCAGTTCTATAAAAAATGTCACACTGAAGAGTATTTAAAGAGAATTATAAAACGAAATATTAAAACAAATATTGAAAAAAATATACAAAAAGAAACGGATGATAATCCAACCATATCCATTCAAAGAAAAAAAATGCAGGTTTCAACATCCTTGGGTACTCCGATGGAACAAACAATACATGACAGTTTTTTATCTCCTCAAAATTCATTAGAAATCAGTCACATTCCAAATAATTTATATGAAGCATTGTCTGAACCTTGTGATTCCGAATTGTCACTTGAGATCTTTAAAGATCATCTCAGATGTTGGGCAATTGGGCATCATATCGCACAAACAGCTATTAGTGATTTATTAAAAATTATAAAATCAGATTTAAAATTAAATTCATTGGTTACAGATGCACGGACTCTTTTAAAAACTGAAAATATAAATAATAAAATAATTAATTTACACCCTGGAAAATATTATCACTTTGGATTGAAGTCAAAATTACTGTTAAAATTAATTCAGAACGATTTTAAAGGTAATGAGGTTAATATATCTGTTAATATTGACGGCCTTCCTCTCACAAAAAGTACTGGTAGCCAATTTTGGCCTATTTTAATAAAAATCGATGAATTGGAAAAACTTCAACCATTTCCAATAGGTGTTTACCACGGAGTAACTAAACCAACCAACTCTAATATTTTTTATCTAGATTTGTTGAAGAAATGAAAAGTTTGCAAAACGAAGGTTTATATTTACATGATAAAATAGTAACAATAAAAATTAGTAAAATTATTTGTGATGCTCCTGCAAAATCGTTCGTTTTGTGTGTAAAAAATTTTAATTCTTATGAAAGTTGCACCAAATGTCACGCTGAAGGATTATTTCAAAAGAATAGAATGACTTTTCCTGAATTGAATTCTAAATTAAGAACAAATGAAGATTTTTATTCTCAAAGTGATAAAGATTACCATAAAGACGTATCTGTTTTATGTGATTTGAAAATAGACTTTATTAAAGGTGTTCCATTGGATTACATGCATCTGGTGTTATTAGGATTAATGAAACGTTTATTAGCATTTTGGGTTAGAGGAAATCAAGAAGTTCGTTTGTTCAAAGAGGATATTGATATTATTAATGAAAGATTAAAAGTAATATATAAATCAACTCCTTATGAATTTTCAAGAAAACCTAGACTAATAACGGAATATGATAGATGGAAAGCTGTTGAATTGAGAACTTTTTTATTATATTATGGTCTATGGGGGCTTGTTCGCCCTGTATCGTTGCGCAGACGGTGTTTTCGCTCGGTGGAGTAGGATCGCTTTAGGCAGGCCTTTCACAGAATAGAGTGTGATGTGTGAAAACGAGATATATTTACAGCTATGTACAAGTATATACAACTTTCGTTTAGGTCGAATTTGTGCGCCTTGCGGCGCGTGTCAAAAATATATCTACCGAGAAGCGCGGTAATTTAGGTTACGCTCTCGGTAAGATATGTGAGGGGCCGTTACGGTCACCCTGATGGGGCCGTATGGGCACTCCGGTTCAGGCTCCGAGTCCGACTCGCTAGTAGTCCAGCCTCTGGTCTGCGTGGCCTGCGTGCGTGCTTCAGTGGTCGAAGTCTGCGTCGTCTGACACCGTACCGTGCGTGGTGGAGATCGCGGTGACGGTGGCAACGGAGAGATCGGTGAGAATAGGCGCGCTTGGATGTAGCGTGGGCTGGTGAAGCGCCTTACACGTAGGTCCCACGGGCTGATGAATATCCGTGGCGGTCTCGTTAAGCGAGGAGGCGGCAGCTCTATCTTATGTAATTTCCACGGCCTGTACTCTATGCAGGATAAGCGTGGTCGGCCGCGTCGAAGCGATGGTGTTGCTGGCGCTGGTTTTGTAGTCGCCGCTCCGTTCGCCGGGCGTTCTACCGCTGCTCCGCTCGCTGCAGGTTCAGCCGCTCCTCCGCTCGCTGCTAGCTCCGCCGACTGCTTCGGTCCTCCGTCGAGGGGCGAGATCCCGCCGGTAACTCCCGGAAGATCCTCGGTGCTCGGCTCGGCGTAAGTTGGTGCTCCGTCCGCTAACTCTGCTCGTGGCTGTCTCCTCGGTGTAACTACCGCTCTCGGCTTGCTGGTGCGCATGAGTCCTCGATATATCCTGTGAATTATCTTTGGAGTCGATTCGCAGAGTTGGCTTATCTCCGCTCCCTTATATACCGTAGTTCACCGTTTTTCAACTCCGAGAATGTTATTGTTTTCCTGCGGCTTCTAGCGGTGTCTCGTAGAGTTTAGCTCCGGGGGTGTCTCCCTCGGACTGAATGTTTTCGCGCGCGTCGCGCGCGCGGTCGCGAGTTGTATTGTGGTGGCCGTGTTGCCGTTCCGTAGGGGCGCCTACGGCCGCCACATGGTCCATGGCTAATGGAACCATTTTTAAAAAATCAATACTTTCTCCATTTTCTTTCCCTCCATTGTGCAATTAGAATTTTAGTTTGTGAAGACTTATTAAAAGAATACATTGATTATGCTAATGATTTATTAATATATTTTGTACAGGAGTTTGGTTTTTATATGGCAACGAATATGTGAATCATAACGTTCATAATGTTATTCATATAATATCAGATGTGAAAACATTTGGCCCGCTAGATAAATTCAGCGCTTTTCCATTTGAAAATTATATGCATACAATTAAAATGATGATTAAAACATCAAATAAACCATTGTCCCAATTTATAAAAAGAGTAAACGAATTCGATAAATATTCTTCTAAAGTAGAACAAAAAAATTTTATTAAAGAAGATGGTCTTCGTTTAATAAACAATAAATCAGTAGAAGGTTTTTCAGCTATACATTATAAAAATTTTAGAATAGAAACTAAAGAACCCAATTGTAATTTTCTATTAAAAAATAATCAACCTATAAAAATAATTGATATTTTGCGAATTAATAATATGTTTTATATTAAATATAAAAATTATAAAATGAAACCCTACTTTGACAATCCAATGAAAAGCACTGTATTTTGGTGCGGTTTTACTGAAATTATTGATGAAGAACATATCACATCTGCTGGCAATATAAGAAGGAAAGCCTTCAAAATAAATGACTGTTTCTTGTCAATATTACACACAGACTGACCTTTCAAGATACACATTATTATTTGTCACAGCATAATACTGTCTTTACCAACATGTTCGCAGGTCTGTGTTTTATCCCTATTTTAAACACTGCTTTTAATTTTAATTTTGTGTTTATTTGATTCAATGATTAAATGTATTCATATTGAATTCTACTACTTTCTTTTATTTAAAAAAAATGAAAAATATACAATATTTCCGTAATCTAACATTAATTTATTTTTTAGTATGCGGTTGTACAATTTGACAATTTAGATGTTTCGGTGGTTTCCATAATTTGGTTGGATGAACCAGATCACTGTTATTGGCCTACAGGAGTAAAAATGTTAGAACCGCAATAGTAAGGGAAGTGTCAGTTAAAGATAATTTTGTTAAATACAAATGTCACATTTTTAGTAAACATGGTAAGTAAAATTAAACTTTTATGCTTAAAAAAATAATATCAAGAAAAATATTGTGTGTGTTATGACATTAATCATTTTATTATAGTTATGTCACTGATAAAAAGAAATGTTTTACAATAATGTTTATACACTTGTATTAAAATAGATTATAATTTAAAATAAATTAAACATGTATATTATGTAAATTTATATCTCATTGAAATATTTTGTTCTAACTGTTATGACATTTTATAATATTTATATAAATTTATCTCTCTCTCTCTCTCTCTCTCTCTATATATATATATATATACAATTATTTAATTATGTAATTATTTTTATTATGATTATATGCCTATCTTTTTATTAGATACTTATGAATCAGCCTTAGAAGCAGAAAAAAAGATTGCAGCAACATCTGATTCTGAGGTTGAATCAAGAATTGGAAAAAGAAAAATAAAAAATAATAAATATGAGAATTATGTCAATTATCCTAATCCTCCGAGATTGGTATCATTCAAGGAATCTCAAAAATCAAGTATTGCATCAGGTTAATATTTTAAGTTTTATTTGTGCAAACCATTTTGAGAAATAGTTTCTTGCTTCATCATCTCAATAATTTAAATGTTTTGCTAACTTCAAATGCTATGCTTGAATTCATTGGTCGAAATATTGCTGATCAGTGGATTAATTTTAAGAGTGTTTATAAATGTTAATTGTGTGAATATTTAAAATTAAATTAAATTTTATTGAGTTTTGCCTTTCATATAAAAGATTTTATATTTGACTTACATATTTATTTGAAAGAAAGCTTATGTATAGATTTATAAAACGTTTATTATATAACATTATATTATAAATAAATATAAATTATATGTATATTATAATTTAATAATGACTTGTTAACAATAAATGTAAACGTATATTAATGTAGATTTATTTCCTAAAAAATAGAATAAAATTGTAAAGTAAGATCAGTAAAAACTGACATTATATTTTAAACATTAAAATCTGCAAATAATGAAATCTGCAGAAGAATAATATATTATAATAATTATGTAGAAAATGCTACTTTAGATAATATTTGAAATAAGTCTTCTCATCGGCAACAAAAATTTTTAATATTACAGATTTTTGATCGGCAACTAACAATAAGTTATATTGTATTATATTAGCTTTCCTCCGATTTAATTATTGCTTAAAACTTTAACATATTTTATACAGTTGAATAATGGAAAAGGTTTGCCTGTTTATAGAATGAAATTAATTTATTTTTTAGTCTCAACGCACACGAACAAGGATGTTGAATTAAATAATTTGCAAATTAATTTACAAGATATACAAGATAAAGATGGTAATAAAAATAAATTTATGTAATTAAAAGCTTTTTCATTAAAACATTTATTTATTTAATTTCGTTTTTTTCAGATAATATTATCTTAGCAGGAGATAACATTGACGATATTCCAATAATAATCCCTAGTGAAAATCATATAGATTTCAATTTCACAGATTTGGAAACAATATTAAAAAATATTGCAACTGAAATTCAAAGTATGAAAGAAAAACAAGAGCAATTACTTTCAGAAATCCAAGAAACAACAAAACTGATCTTGGCTAAAATAAATAGTGAACAATATGGCAAAGAATACTCTATGCTAACCGATGATAAAATCAGGGAATACTTTCCCTTAACTTCTATTCAAAATTTCCTTGATTTCGATACTATGTTAAAAAATGATGAAGAAGCTTTCATGCAAGTAGTAAGTAAATTTGTTTGTCAATTATCATAAATTAAATCTAGCTTTAACAATAGCATAAATACATATAATAATGATATAATTGTAAAATGGCATACTTCAAATAAAAAGGTAAAATGCACTGTGACTTAATTAAATTTGTATGTCTCTAGTCTCTAATGTATTAAAGTTATTTGTTAATTAGTGAGGTACTAGAGAATGTTAAACAGTTACTACATATTTTTGATTAGCTGTATCATGCGCAAATGTATTCATGCATCAAAATTCATACATCGACTTAATTATTATATCAATTATAAAGGTAAAAACCATTGTTTAGGTTAACAAAATATTACAAATTGGCGGAAAAAATGAGAGAGATTTCATTAAAAGAGCTTTGACTACAACATTTGATGATAATTTGGCCTGTATATGTTCATGGACGGGACAGAAAAATAATTTTAAGATTGGAGATGCACGTATCATACTAAGTATCAAAAGTAAGTATCAAAAGTAATTTTTAATACATATTGGTATCATAATCAGTAATTGTTTTATACATTTTGTAATTTATTACACTTAACAGATGGAAATGAGAAAACCTATTTAGAGAATTATGCTACAGAACATGACTAATTAATTAAAGTTGAACAAATTTATAATCATTATTTTTTTAATGGCAGTTCATATTTTGGCTAATATTTTATACAGTTTTAATATTAATGGACACTATGGATTTTCTGTTTATATTAAAATTGTTTAACTAGCTATAAGTAGTAAATTAAATAAAAATTAATTTTGTAAATTAAATAAATAAAAAATTATTTTAATAACAAGTTAAAAACTATCACACACAGCAATAAAATATATAACGTATCATTTATGAAAAAGAGTTCACAATGTCATCTATAAATTAGTTGTAGAAGAAAATTTATTGACATTGTATATTAATTAAGGCTGTTGGTTCTTTCTGACATTATAAATCAAGATGAAAGCAAAAAAAAGCTGCTCTAAATTCTTGCAAAATAAAGATATGTTTATGCATGATCATTGCGATCAATTAGGCAGATTTATAATATATTTCGCAAATTGTTCTAATTAAATTTCCGACATCAAAATGCGAGTACTTTTTGTCGAAAATTCATCCAATAATAAATAATCAAAATTAGTAAAAGGAAAGCTTTAGAACTATTTTATAAATTTATTTAATTAATTGCAAGTGACATTTTATGGATGTTTATATCATCAATTATTTATATCAACATATTTTTCCAACTCATTTTTTTGTTCTTGATGTCATAATCTAAAGTAACGCGGTGAAGAGGACAAAACTTTTAATTTTTTAATATAGAATTCTTTAATATAGATGTCTTTTCTTTATTTTGTTATAGCATATTAAATAACTTATACATATTCTTTTTTACTCCAGAAGCTTTTAAGACAACATTCCCTCGGAGCACTGAAAAGGATTTCGAACATATTGTAATGGAATGGTTTCGATTTGCTAACGTTCGCAAGCAAAAGAAGGAACTTTCAAGTACGTCATTCAGATATTATATAATTCCTTATTTCTTTTAACAGTTTCTCTGTCTTAACCTAATTATTTCAAATATTTCTATAAATATTTATTACATAACTAAATAAAGTTGGATTATAAGATTTTTACTAATTAAATTTTATTTTTATTTTCCAGGAAAAGAAAACTGAAAAAGTCTTACCAAAAAAATGTAAAATTGAAACATTTTATTATATTGTTTAATGCGGTACTTTTTGTCGAAAATTCATATAATTTTTTAAGTTTTTCTGATTACTTTGAAAAGTACTGTTCTGTTTAGTTTATGGTAAGTTACTTTCGTATAATAAGTATATGATGATTTTGTATGAAGTTTACGTTGTCAGTTTGTATTTTAAATATAAATTTTATGTTTGTAATGTGCATATGAATATATATACATATATGTTACATTTTTATATTGACATACGTATTACATTTATATATTGTATTGAAATATAGATATTTTTCTATATGTGTCGTATTTATAAAATATAATTCTTTAATAAACATATCCTTCAAGATACTTGATCACTAAGCTGCTTTGTATACAGTAACAAATTTTCAATATTATTAGCATATTCAAATATTGCATTTTTGTTTTTCTGAGTATCGATAATGTAATTTTTTCCTAAGACAAAAGCATGAAAACTGAAAAATTTCTGTACTCTGATTGCAAAAAATTAACAATTCATCATGGTTAATTTAAAAAAGTTAACTAATCAGGACACAGAAATTTTTCATTTTGAACGTGTTTGCCTTAGGAAAATTTACATGATAGAAGAACAAAAATGAAAAATATATTTAAATGTGCTAATAATATTTAAACTTTGTTGAAAATATGTTATATACAATGTAAATAAAATGACAAAAGTAAGTAAAATTAATATTACTATTAACGTTATTGCAATGTTTATATGATATTACATTGATATTGACATTAACTTCGTTTTATTATTGCTTTAATGTTATGAGAAACATTATTACAATATTTAAAAAACGTAAATGCAATATTATTTACAACAACATTACATTTGTTATTTCAACATTACCGAAACCTCCAAATCTGTGTCAAAGTATGTTCATAATGATATTGCACGCAACATTAAAAACTACATACTTGAAAACATTACTATGTTAGTGAATAACGTTATAATAACATTGTAACAATGATTTTCTGTTTACTGGGACTGGTATACCACTTTCTTTACTCATTTCCATGTTTGTCTGTTTGTTTGTCTCTTCTATCCTCGTCGCCAATGTAGCGTATTTGGGTGAGGAATGAATCGTACAGTTTCTGAGTGTTAGCGTATCCTTTATTCTCGGCTTCCACTCTGTGCACATACACCGGCTCTCTCTGTACGCTTGTCGCCATCTGCCTAGCCCAGTGAACTCTATACATACTGGAATGAGTGATCTATAGTTCTGGCTGTTGCCGAGAGAGAGGTGCATTGGGTGAATCCTTGTCTCCTTCTAGTACTACCTGATTGGATTATCGCATATAAGTGACGCCCTTCTTGTCGTCATTTATATGCAACTATCCAATCAGGTAGTACTAGAAGGAGACAAGGATTCACCCAAACGCACCTCTCTCTCGGCAACAGCCAGAACAATAGATCACTCATTCCAGTATGTATAGAGTTCACTGGCCTAGCCTCGCTATCCGCACGCCATCTCTGTCGCCGAGCGCCAGTTAGTATCGCGCCTGTGCGTGGATACACTACAGTGTCTAGGTGTATTAATACCTCGAACTCGATGTCCACGCATCCCAGGTCGCCGATGACGACGTCCAGACAGTGCGCCCCATAGTTTTCGGTGTCTAGGTGTATTAATACTTTGAACTCGATGTTCACTTATTTCAGGTCGCCGATGACGACGTCCAGACAGTGCGCCCCGTAGTTTTCCGTGTCTAGGTGTATTAATACCTTGAACTCGATGTCCACGTATCCCAGGTCGCCGATGACCCCCCGTGGAGCGCCACCTTGTCGTGGTGGGGGGCTTAGGCGGGCGATCGACCGAGAGCCGTCCGTGTGCCGTTTCAGGCTCCGACGGTTCCTTAGGTCGGTCGTCCGCTGTCTACGAGCGCTCCGCTAGATCCTCCGTAACTCATTGCACGCCGGTGTTCCGGCAGAGTTGCGGGGGGTGGCTCTCCCGTCGCTGGGCTGGACGTGGTCCTGTCTTGGCGGCGGGGGAGGGTCCGACCCTGGCGGCGTAACCGTACGTGGTGCGGGTCGCTGGGTGGGCGGACTGTAGGAGGGCCGGGCACACAGTCTAGTGGGTCCGGCAACGGACAACGCGGGCCGTTATCCCCTGTGTCTCGGGACGACGTCCTTTTTAGGACGTGCGTCCTGGCATGGGGAGCCGGCTCCGCCCGTCCGCAACAAGGTGACGGGCTACCGGGGCCGCTCGGACGTTTCCGAGGCGGGGCTCGGCGGCCTGGGACCCTCCGGAGCCGCTGGGACGTATTCCCAGGCGGGGTCCGGGGGGCCGGAGGCGGGGTGT